CAGGTTCTCTTGGCTTTTTCCTTCAGGTGAACACGTCCAGGAATCCAGTATCCGCAGCCGCCGCAGTAGTCCTGTACTGCTGTGTAGTAGTAGCAGGAAATCCAGGTTGTACGCCGGTTGTCCAAACAAAAGATTTGTGATTCCGTGAGAGAAGGAGATACCACCGCCGTCGAAGGGTCGAAGGCACTGTCTGCCAGATGTAGGCTGTGAGATAGATGGTGCCACCTGTGTTCTTAGCCTGCCCGCCCGTGAGGGTCGTGACGAGGCTGCCATGTGTTGTGCTTGTGTGTGTGTGTGTGTGTGTGTGCTTTTATTATTAGCATCGACCGCGCTAACCGGCTGACCAATGAAAAGACGTCAGTCTTAGTGCGGTTGAAATGTGTGTATTTTCGTCCTATTTATTATGGCGACAGCAGTCCCCCCATTTTTCGTGGTGAGACGTGTACTACACTTTTCAACGTATGTAGAGTACTACACTTTCCAGTGTGTTTTTTCNCGCTAACCGGCTGACCAATGAAAAGACGTCAGTCTTAGTGCGGTTGAAATGTGTGTATTTTCGTCCTATTTATTATGGCGACAGCAGTCCCCCCATTTTTCGTGGTGAGACGTGTACTACACTTTTCAACGTATGTAGAGTACTACACTTTCCAGTGTGTTTTTTCACCATCCAGGGTCACACAGGAGGGGGTAAACACCAGGGCTTTTGTCTTCTTTTTATTTTCACGCCCCACCTTCCTCCTGCGGTGCGTGCTGAATTTTATTTTTATCGCGAGAAGGGTCCAGCTGTCCCTTTCCCTCGTCAACGGTGCTAATGTCGAAGTTTGGTACTCACGAGAGCTTTTTTAGCTATATTTCGCTTTCACCCGCAAATTTCGTAATTTTTTCACCCCATGGGGATTCGAACTCACGACCTCGGCGACTAGCGGATTACGAGGATACCAGTAGACCACCGGGGCGACCAGTGTTGTACACAGAGGGAAGAGAGTGCTGAACTCTTCTCGCATTAAAAATCGAAGGCAACGTACCGCAGGAGGCGAGGGTAGAGAGGGGCCCTCTTATGTGACCACGGGGTAAATTAAACGACACTATTGCTGTGAGCGCTGATTTTAAGTGAAGACAAGAACCAAGAAAAGCTCTACTGCTCTATGGTAGATACGATCCATCTTTTCCGCGAACTTGAAGGTCCAGGAGACGGCTGGCCCGAAGCGGTAATCTGCAGCATGTACCTTCTTCTATAGTACTAACCACCCTTTCAACCTCATCATCGCCTCCCTGTTAAAAAACAACCAAACCCACCGCACTCCGAAAGGCAGAACCCCAAAAAGGAATAGAATATAGCCTGGCATTGCACTGCATTGCATTGCAGGAGCTGGCCCTTGCTACAAGGCGGGATCTACAGCAGTACCGCAAAAGCACTGTTGTGTTACCCCACGCCGGCAGGGGATACAGGAGGCAGATGCAGTTCGTTCTCGACAAGGGCAAGGTGGCAGCGTCCGCCTGCCTCGCTCTCGCCTACGCGTGCCTTTCCGCAAGACAGGCTTATGCCTTCGGGCTCGGCCTTAGGCCCATCCCCTCGGCAGCATCGTCGTTCCACCCGGGGGGCATGCTGCCAAACACGGTCGACGTGGGTAGCAGTGGCGGGGGGCCCCGTGGAATGAGCATGTACTCGGCGTTCAAGAAGGGGGGGGGCAAGGGCAAGAAGAAGAAGGGAGGCGGGGGGAAGAAGAGTGCCGGGGGTAGGGGGGGCGGCGGCAAGGGCGGGGGGAGGGGAGGGGGGAGGGGTGATGGCGGCCCTCCTTCGCCTACCGTCGACACATCCAGGAAGGTTGGTGTCATGTGTATGTGTGTGTGTGTGTCTTGATTATTAGCATCGACCGCGCTAAACGGCGGACCAATGAAAAGACTTCGGTCTTTGTGCGGTTGAAAACACAAAACACTTCTACTTGCCATGAACTGGGACCCCGTGAGGGGGCAGCATGTGTGCGTGTGTGTGTGTTTTGTGTTTTGCAAGCAGGCGGCAGAGACGAAAATGCTGTGTCTGTTGCGTGCTGTGTTGCTTATGGCGTGCCGCGCTCACGGGTTCAGAGTGTTTATTTGTTTGATCAATCAGGGTTGGGTGTGTCCCCAAATATGTGTAGACGAGATATGGTCAGGTGCAATGTGTGCCAGACACAGCGTACGTTCTCTCTCGTATATCATCGTTTGTGCTTTTCATCCGGTCCTTTGTTTTGGCTGCGCACTTACGACACGTAGCCCTATCATGACCATGGTCGGCACACGCAAGCACAGAAACAAGAACCGCAATGGTTGTTATGCATCCTTGTAGACGTGGTGGAACCCCCTCCCTCCTTTCCTCCTCTACTCGCAGCACGGCAACGGCAAGCACTAGTACCTACGCATACCACGATACGAAATGGCAAGCCTACTCACGCACACAAGACGCAACGACCGCTGCTATTGCATTGTACTTGTGTCGCACAACCCACACAAAAAGCCGCGTTTGCCTGGCTGTGCTCTGTGCTCCCGATGCCGCCTCCCAGGACTTCGTGTACCAAATGAACCGCCTCTCCAAGTCTTTCGGCAAGGGGACCAGCATCCGTCCGGTGCTCAAGGACGTGAGCCTTTCCTTTTACCCAGGGGCGAAGATCGGAGTGCTGGGGTCCAACGGCTCGGGAAAGTCTACCCTCATGAAGGTGCCCTGTTCTAAGGATGTGGCATGCGTACCTCTCTTTTTGGATATTGCCTACAGGTGCAAGCACCAGGAGTGATCATATATGTATCCGAATGGCCCTTCCTTATATTTTTCGAACCGGGCGGTATGCCTAACAATCACCCAAAGGCTGTGCGTTGGAGGTAACACCCCGTGGTGCAGTGATGTGAGTGATGTGAAGGCAGAGACTGCGGCAAGGTGGTGCTGATTGCTGGGATGAAACAGTGGCACTGAAAACTCTTGTCTTGTTTATTGTTCGTCCTTTGGAGGACTCGCACTTCGACGGCGTTTTCGAGCTATCAATGCATGCAATTTCTTGTGTCGACAGGCGCTTCGCACCATCGCATGGTGCTCGGTCGTATCTTGCTCCTTGGACAAAACGTTGTCAGCTGCAATAGCAGCGATAGTAGCGATAGCCATGCTTGTCGTCCTCCGCCATTGAACACTTCACTGTCCGTGTGGTACAGCAGTTTGCACACGAAATCTCTTCCATCTTAGATTCTTGATCTTACTTGTCCCTGTGTTCCGTTTGGATGGCGAACGTCGTCAGGGCTAGCCTAAAGAGCCTAGCAGCTGCTCTGTTGCTTGAACCAGTATCAATGCCAGTTGCTGCTGGTTACGTCGCGTGCATGTGTGGAGATCAAACCTCTTCAACTACTTGTGGATGCGGAGAATGAAATTCGCCAGGCTTGGCTTCTGTTTCCTCGTTTCGCTTTCTGCCCGTCTACGCGCATCGCGCCAAGACGCCAGCCAACCCTAGTTTGCTTTCGAGTTTTCCATAGCGGTTGTTCCCGATGATCGGGAGTCGAAGTTACCACGCGTGGTCCACATGTAAATGAAACACACCCGGTCAGCCTTTGTTTTACCACGCCCTTGGCCTGGTTTCAAAGTTTTCAATTTTTTCTGCGGACCACCCACGCATCAGACTATTTTCCAGACACATGGGTTGGTTAACACAAGACGGATTTGCGGACCCCCTCTGTTTATTCTTCGGTTTCGTGGTCGTTTTTTCTTTTTTCTGACGCCGGCTGCTTGCCGCGAGACGAGACGAACTCGCTTGTTCCCGACATCCTCGCTGCCGCGAGAGCCATGACCTTTGATCGACAACCTTGAGCTCGAGCTTGACCTTGACCTTGACCTTTCCTTCCCCGTCGCCGCCTTGCCCCTATCCCGCCCCCTACCCCTAACCCTGACCCAGATCATGGCCGGGGTGGACACGGAGTTTCAGGGGGAATCTCGCCTTTCGGACTGGGCGAAGGTGGGCTACCTGGAGCAGGAGCCTAAGCTGGATGACGGGGACACGGTGTCGTCGAACATCGAGGCCGCCGTCGTGCCCACCCGCACCCTGCTCAAGGAGTACGAAGAGGTATGTATTGTAGGTGCAAGTGCAACCTCAGCCGTCGAGGACGCTTGGAATGCCGCAGTTGGTGACGGATATGTAGCAGGCGAGATGAGACTTACCAACGGCTGTACAGGCAGATATATACTTCCTCTGTCACATAAGTAAAGTCCGTTATGATTACACGGCCATTTAGCCGTGTCCGATGTCTTAGGCGATACTTTTTTTGAAATCTTGAGCGTTTTTCGGGTTGAAACCCATATTTCTTTTTTTTTCTTGCGCACTACCCTGCATGCACTAGCGGCTTACAAAAAAGTAGTCAGGCCAAAAAAGGCCGTATTTTGCCCCTTTCCATGAGGGTGGGGTGGAGGCACGAAACGAAACATACCAAAAAAAGACAAGAATTAGCCCGAACTCTAAACCCAAGGTTACCTATACTGAACGATCCATTTCGCGTCCTCCCAAGCAAAAACCAACATAGTAGTGAACCCACACTAAAATCAAGACATTTTCGAGGCCCACACTAAAACCAAGACACTTGGGGGCGCCACACTAAAATCAAGTTACGTGCGGGGCAAAGCCGACAGGCGTAGGGTCCTAACCCTACCCCCCCCTTGTACTCAACGACCCATGTCGCGTCCGCCCAATGTTTTCTGGGGTAATCACTACCAACGCCGTACCGCTCGGCGAGGGGGCCTAGAAAGCCCTTGGGTACCCTTTCTTTGCCCGGCGGAATCGCCAACGCTATCTCCACCGCCATGGCGTACCGACGACCCAACGATACTTCCGCACCCCGCTTACGACGTGGGGGTGTCTGGGCGTCGTCCCCCATGATAGCTACGTCGTTGTGGTGGTAGTGGGTGCTCACACAGCACAAAGCTGTAAATATTCTTTAAAATATTCTCAAAAAGTTTTCAAAATATTCCCAAAATATTTGCAAAATAGTCCCCTATTTGACACAGTAATTCTCAGTAATTGTGAGTCGGATTTTTTTTTTTATGTTATGTGCGTAACAAGCGCTTTCCAAAAAATACCCAGCTAGAGCTTCAGGAACACCTTGGCTGGTGAGGTATGTAAATTCCCCCATAACGGACTTTACTTATGTGACAGAGGAAGTATATATATATATGTGGAGCACGGGGGTAGGAAGATGATGTTAACACGGTCCATGGGTCTCTTAGACCATTGACATGGTGTAAGTCTCATTTAATTTCTAATTTCAGGGTGCACGCGCGAACGACCGCCGGGATGAGAACTAATGTGCTCGTGGGGTTAGCCCCGGGTGACGCGGAATAAGTTATCGCTCAACACGGGTCTGCCAGGAATGTTGTGCTTAATGAGTAATAGTAATGCATACATAGGGTAGACTATGCAAACATGGGGTATGCGTACATGATGAAACAATGGAACGCGTCGTCCTCATCCATCAGACCTTCTCGAACGAAGCCTGTCAGAATTTTGTCATCATCGCTTTGCCGAATCTATCACTCGGCCGGCGTCAGCAAAACGTACCTCCGACATTCTTTATACTCGGGACACGTCGCGGAACGGTACACGCGCTTCCTATTTTATGCACCTTTTTCTTGAGAATTGTCTCCCCTTGAAGACGAAGACGATCCTCTCGTACCCGGTGTTCCCAATACAATACCCTCCGTCGTACCCCCCCCGCCCCGCTCGTTTATTCCCCGCATGACGTTTGCTTCGAGGGAAGGTGTCCGCCAATATGTCGAGCGAGGGGGCTGACATGGACAAGCTTTCGAAGGAGATGGACCGTCTTCAGAACGCCATCGAGGCGGCGAACGGTTGGGAGCTGGACCGCGTGCTGGAGAGAGCGATGGACGCCTTGAGGTGCCCCGATGGAGACGCCCTCGTGGACAACCTTTCAGGTGACGGACGTGTGGTGCGGTTCCGGTGTTGGAGCTGCGGTAGAGTAGGACGCGTCGTCACGATAAGTGCATAGCCCTTTGAGCGACTTATCGATTGCTCCATAGCTCTGTCACGAGAAGTCACGAAGCCCGACGGACATGTCGAAGGAACTTCTCTCTCTCTCTCTCTCTCGACGACATATTTCACAAGGGCGTGTTCGGTAAGGTACCGGTACGCTCGGTACCGGTATGAACATGGTACCGAACGTACCGAACATCTCGGTATCGGTATGGACATCATACCGAACGTACCGAACATCTCGGTACCGGTATGGACATCGTACCGAACGTACCGAGCATCTCGTTATCGGTACGGAGTGTCATACCGGCACCGCCGGTATCGGTACGGACATCGTACCGAACATACCGAGCATCTCGGTACCGGTATGGACATCGTACCGAACGTACCGAGAATCTCGGTACCGGTATGGACATCGTACCGAACGTACCGAACAATTCGGTACCGGTATGGGCATCGTACCGGTACCGTACCGGTGATACCGGCGGTATTTGTACCGAGCATCGCTCTACAGCAGTATCTATTGCTATTGCCCATGAAGAATGTGAATGTGTGTGTGTGCGCGACAGCAGTAGTGCGACACAAACAAACATATCATACTCCTGTAGATAGCAAATACAAATATAGCAACTGGAATTAGATTTCCCTGTCAACTTGTTTTTTGCTNAACACTGCTTCTCGCCATTGAAAATCGCAAAATCGAAGGCAAGAGAGAACAACAGCAAAAATCGCAAAATACCAAGCAAAAAATCAAAATATAATTATTTTTATTTTTGTACGCGCGCGAGTCAATCAAAAACAAAACGGAAACAACAAAACAAACCAATTTGCCAATTTGAATTTGCAGCAAACGACAAAAACGATTTGAACTCCAAGCAGAAGAATTTGGCGGCCTTGTCGTTCTTGTCTATCGGCTCAACGTACACACCGAGCGAGTACAGGAAAGAAGTCTCACGCGCCCCTTCTCTCCGATACCCCTGCGGCACCACAATGTCGTCGAGAGCTTTGAGTGTCTCCCCCGGCACTACGTACTCTGTGTCGTTCATGAAGACAGAAGCAGGCGCTTTCACTGGCACACTGCTGCCGCCTCCATCACCGTCCACGACTACCTCTGCCTCCGGAGGTGCTGGCGCCGGCGCTGGCGATGATGAGCTTTGGTCGCCAGCGGCGGGGTCATCGTTGTCGTTGCTGGGGGGGGGTGGCGGGGTGCTCATGAGGGCGTCTGGTAGTGGTACGCCACCAGCTGTACCGAGTACCGAAGAAGAGGGTACAC